CAGTTTATGTTTTGGAGTTTTATGTTGAGACTCGTTGGTTACTATGTTTATTTGGTGAGCCTGGGGATTGTCCATGACACATAGTATTGTTATGTCTTGTTTATGTCTTGAGTCTTTTGGAGTTGTAATAATGTATCAGGATATTGTCCGGATTACTTGATGTAATGCCGTGATTTAGATACACACTTTATCTATATATTGAGGTATTTCAGTAGATGTCTTATTACAATTTACATACATACGATATTTTATAAAATTGATTAAGTAATCAAGTTGGTAATTGATAATGACGTCATAATTGAAAAGAAAAAGAATATTTCGCATTTTTAATTAAGCACCGCTTAATACGATGTAATGTTAATATTCCGGGTATACACGGGGTGTTACAGTATCCTTGCCCCGTGAAGGCTCACTGACAATCTGTACATCTAAAATGATGTCCCCAAACGGGGTGAGACAACAAATCTCAATAAACTCCAGGTTTACAGAGAATTCTCCATACCTTGGGCCCACTCCTGCATGAAAGTGAGATACAGAGTATACAATGCATCATATAAAAAAATATTATAACCGAACAAAACATATATACATATCTTATCAGAGGCGTACGCAGTCTTTGCCAAAGGAGGACCCCAAGCAGAAATCAACGCACGTGTTCCCAAGGGAGGATCCCGAGCGGAACCAAACATTTACCAGAGGTGTACACAGTCAGTCCCAAGGGGAGGACCCCAAGAAGACATCAGTGCACATATAATCAATGGCCAAAGATCATTACAGAAATCACATCAGAACAAAACATATCATATCATCATATAGCTCTATATGAATGCATCTATACAAAGCATAAAATACAATCATACAAACCAACCATAGTTCACCAACCATGGTGAAGCACATAGATAAGAGAGATCTCCTTAAACATAGAGCTTACCTCTTAGAGCTTTTCCAATTTGCTTACTTGTAGCACAAGTTACTTGTCTTGCTCTAAAGGAATCCAAACGTTCATAGTCCCTAAGCACACCTAGAGAAGAAATTCAAAACAAAACTCAATAAAATGATACAATGCCATGTAATTACACAAGACATACACTTTATTGTTTACTTTCTTTTCTTCACACTTATGTCAATCATATGCTAATCCACAAGTCAAGACCGTAATTTCTTAAACTTATATATTAGACCATTTAAGGATAATTACTTGCTCCACAAGCAACCACATGGTTTCACACTTACATAAGGTCCTAGAATGACCTATCCATGCTTCTAAATACCATTTTACAAATTTTAACACTCCATAGCCCCAAAGACCCTAAATGGTCGGAACCAAGGCTAGGGAGGGCTAAGGATTTCATCACTCCAATTGACATAACCAATAGTTCCTAGAACTCACACTTGGTCCCTAAGTTAACTATGTATCCTCATAAGAACTTTAAACATAATTCATGCCCATTTTTCCTTTACAAGGCTGAGGGGTACACATATCGGGAACCAAGATGTCTTTTGTCATTTTTCAAGTCATTTCACTTCATACTCATATCAATGCCATGCATTGGAACCTCAACACATTCTCAAAACAAAGTTTAACATAATCAAACCCTAAATAACCCTAAAGGTCGAAATCTAGATGGAAGGGTCAATGGGGTTCTTTTCTTGAAAAATCTATTTTTCCCACTTAATTCACAACTTACACATGTATATAGACCTTCACAAAGTGTTCAATTAAATTTTGAACATCAAACTCCTTTATGATACGTCATGGCCAAATCATAGGGAGGCAACATAATGGAATTTTTTTCCAACTTTACACTTATTCACATGCTTATCTCACATTAAATATCTAAAACATCAATAATCCATCATCAATTCAAATTTTAAAATCAAAGTTTTCCCACCAAAATATGCTCCAAATTTTCAAAACTTTAATCATGAAAATCAAACCATGGAAATAGAGATTTCTTACCTTTAATCCCTTATACAAAACCTAGAGAACAACCTCCAAATAAAGCCCCCTTAAAAACTTCAATTTCTACACTTGAGGAATAGTAATTCGAAAAAGGGGAAGGGAAGAACTCCTCACACAAGCAATTATATCCCAAACCAAGTAGTGGAATGGATTTTTGGGGTGATTTACTATGAATTTCATATAATGCACTTAGGTGGTGTTTGGTTGGAGCTTTTTGTGAGGATACCTAGGCATATGAGATTGGGTTTTTGTGTTGTCCATGTTTGGTAAAAAAAATTACAAAATTTTCCTAGCTAACTTGGTTCCCCAACATTTCATAATTGTGTCGAAAAATGGATGAAAAACACTGTTCAACATACCCAATCTAACATGGTATTTGACAATAGCAGGCAAAATGCAAAATAGAGGATGAACGATGAGACAAAAATACCCTCTCTTCCTATGTAGCACCGATACTGACACGAGACATGTGACACGATACGACACGACACTCTGACACGTTAATTCTAAAAAATGTTAAATTTCGACACGTTAGGACACGTTTTGATATTAAATAATATTTTTAATTTATGTAGTATATATTATATTTAATATTCAATAATTTAACAAAGAAATGTATATAAACTTATAATATTCATAAATTTTGCAAAGAAACATAAGATATCCCAAATATTTATATTAAACTCAATAAAATGGTAATCGTAATCCAACGAATATAATAGTTAGAACTAAAAACTCAATGCAACTTAACCTTTGAACCTTTTTTGTATTTCTATAATGTGTGTCGGAGTGTCGGGGAGTGTCGGACACGACACGTCAGGATTTGTGAAGTGTCGATGCTTTATAGCTCTCTTCAATTGGAAGAATTAGAAGATATTCCTACTTGTTTTCTCTGACATAGGGGACTGCCATTACTCTCCTTTACCACTTTTGTCATTTTATAGTTATATAAGCTATTGATTTTTTACACTCCTTTGCTGCTCTGTCAATTTTCAAAAATTAAAAAGGATTACTTTTGTCATTTTATATCACTTTTCCATCAATATTTTACACTCAACCAAAAATAAACTTACAAAACTTTAATCAATTTACCCGGTAATATTTCGTCTAACCAAACAACGTTTTTTACATTTTCCTACCAAACTCACTTTCCAACCATTTCCATAGTAATTACATGTCCTTAGTATTTAAAAAATTTCTCCTCAACCAAACGCCCCATTAAGGATTTGGTTGAAGGTGAAGGAGAAATCAAAGGAAAACAAAATGAAAACCTAAGCCCCTTCAATGGTGAGAAGCTCGGCCATGGAGAGATAGAAGGAGGAAAATCTGAAGTGAATAGTGCCATGTGTTAGTAACTTTGGACTTATATGCACATGTGGCCTTTTACCGGTTATTTTCTTCTCACTTAATTTCACTTAACTTGACCCGGTATTAACTCAAAGCTACGGACTAATTTTTTTTTTTTTGACCTCATTTACATTAACTTTTATTCCCTAAAGAACAATATTAATAATTCACAGTAGGATTTCTGCATCGTTTTTAACGATATACACTATGAATCACTAACTATGCACCGTTTACATACGAAACTTAAAACTTATAAACTTACTATTTTTGGTCTAAACATGACTTGTTTGACATGTATTGGACTTTCTCATTCTTATTATATCTTTTATTCAGTTCTGGACTCTACCTGTTGCTTAAACAACGGTACAAAATACCCGGCAAAAAATACTATTCACGAGATTTTCACGAAAAATGGCAGACTATACAATTTTTTTTCTTGAGCTCATATCTGGCATCAGAATTTCCAGATTAGGTCTTTAACCTCATTTTTCTCATTACTAAGCTATACCGATTACTCTACACAGTGCATAATACCTGGCAGAAGGCACCATTCATGACCTAGTCATGATTACAGTCAAAATACTCAAAATAACGTCCTGAATTTAATTATGACATTTAAATCCTTAAATTAAATCTCTAATTAAGATTTACATGATGGGGGGTCATTATACGTGGCCTCAAAAAAGTTGCTACGTGTGCAAACCTAACTCGCTATGTGTTGTAGCGGGTTATGTGACGTGGCATTTTGACAAATTTTTATTGGTGCGTGGCATTCTAGTAAATTTTTTATCAACATGTGCAAAAATGGTCGTTGTCCTTGGATTCCACTTGCATTTAACTGCTCGTATAATTAATAATTTTTTTGATATAAAACAAGGGAAATGTTATATTTATAAACTTTTTGTTTACAAACTTTTATAAACTACACTATGTCTTATTAGTAAGACACTCTTGAATAAAGTCTTACCGGTAAGACATAATGTAGTAGATAAGTTTGTAAAAAAAGTTTATCTATATAACCCTACTTATAAAACAAATTAATTATTAAGATTGAGTGTAACCTTTATGCCGGTATAAATTGACATTGCCTACATATATTATATTTAGGATCTGGATCCTTTTTTTGTGCAAAAAAAATGACATATTCATGTGAGGAATCATAACCATATAAAGGTGGATCAATGATAACAAAGAAAGAGAGAAAAAAATATATTAAAATAAATAGTTACAAAATCATAACCGTTGATTTACTTTTATATAGTTATGATTTTTTCACATGACCATATCATATTTATTTATTTTTACATGAAAGAATCCATTTTCATTTATATTTTGTTTTGAGAAAGAAAAACTCTATCACACAATCATGGATTTCATAAAGTAACACAGGTAATTAATTTAAAAGCTGTACCGGCCAATTTTAAAAATCAATTATACTACTTAGTTGAAAAGCCCCATATGTAGCCACATTTATTAATTGAAACCTGAAAGCGTTGCAAACAAGTAACATTGTCGAGTCTGCTCTGGGTAATACAGTATTAAGCATAGCATAACCCGAGTTTGTGACCATAGTTGAACCTTCTCATGGTAAAATATAATCCATAAACTGCTCCAATGTGTTAATGATATTCCCGTCTCAGCATTGGGTTCATTGGAGGGTAAGTCCTAAATTCAAAAAAGGAAAGTATTTTCAGAGAAACTTATCAATGTCCTTTTTTAACATCTCTGTGGCAAGTATATTGTAAGTTCTCTGCGTGGGGTGATAACTGTCCCAGAACACATATTGAGAGGCATCTTCACAGATTTTTAAGGCGAAATTATTACAAAGAGGGCCAAGTTCCACATTTGCCACGCCACAACATGCACTATCCCCCACTTTAAATCCTGATCCACAAGCAATGGTCCAATTAGTGATTCATAATTCATGTAGGAATTTGGTTGGTAATCGTTTTCCTTCTCTAGAGAAATATTCTCATAATAATAATAAAAATTTTAGTAACTAATATAGGCTGCATAACATGAAATTTTGCTATGGTGAGACAAATTAGAGAGTAAAAAGGAGGAAAGGACAATTCCCAGTATATAAGGCTTCTAATTGAGGGTAAATTGTACACAGTCTTATCTTTATATTTTAGCAAAGATGTTGTTTCCAAACAGAAACTCGTGACCTTTTGGTCACAAGGAACAACTTTACCGTTGCTCCAAAACTTACAAAATATAGACATAGAAATTTACCAACTTATGGAGAGTAAGTGCTAAATATTGACATAGAAATTTACCAAACTTTTTGGGCTTGTGGATAAGTGCATTCAACTCTTTGTAGTTTTCAAGGTAGACAATCCTAGCATCCTGAAAACTATCGTTGAGAGCCTTAAGTGAAGAAGCAAGCTTGGAGTTGTAGATCTTGGCTGCACTGTTTACTTTTTTTGCACATTTCCTTTCTATGCCTCCTAATACCGTTCTTTGCAGTGGCACACATCCAACTGGTGATAAGCCGAATGCTCCAATCTTTCTTGCTCCCAATTTATGAAGTTCCTTCCATTAATTTCATGACATTTCCATCAAAATGTGAATTTTTTCAATAAAAGGGATGTTATTGTTAACATCTTAACCAGTAGAAAATCTGTCAAGATGCATTAAAAGAACTTTTTTTTTTTTAGAAAAAAAGCTAGAGCTATTGTGTGTTTGGATCATCATCTAAGAAGTACTTTTTTAAGTAAAAAAGCAGCACTTTGCCTTTTTTCAAAAGCCAGAAATCTTGGCTTCCTAAAAAATTTACCATTTTAGCTTCTTTTTTCAAAAAATAGCTTCTTGAAGAAAAGAAAAAAAATCCCATCTATAGGGTTGAGCTCAAGTAACTCTAAGTTGGAAGTTTTAATATCAAATCTCATTGACAACAGGTAGGTAGAATTTAATAACACCGTTGTAGAGCACATGACATTGATATGTTTCTTTCTTGAATTCAAATATTGTCCAGACCCTTTTCATTTTCACATAAAAACATACCTGTATAAAATTTGAAGACATATTGACCAGAATACTTGCATACTCTTTGACACTATACTCAAACCTCCTGTAAGATGCCAGAAAATATGTTCCTGAAATATCATTGCTTCCCATACTGATTATAAATAAGCTTTTTGCTAGAATGTAACAAGTCTTTTTTTCCCCCACAGCTGCCTTCAGTTTTCCTATGTACTCTTTGAACATATTTAGTTGATCCTCTACTGATAACACACTCTGATATAGCACAAAAAAAAAAAAAAAACTGTTAAAGCATGTTTGTAACACAAAGTTGGAATACCACTTCCCATTAAACCCCAACTAACGAGGGTGGGGTGAGGACAATCCTTATACGCAGTCTTACCCTCGCATATTTGCAAAGAGACTGTTTTTCGGATTTGAACTCATGACCTTTCAGTCACATAGGAGTAGCTTTACCACTACTCCAGACTCGCCCTCTTTGTAACACAAAGTTGGAAGTAGAATTTTTTTTTAGAGACTATGGTGGTGGAGAAGAGGATGATTACTGCTAGTTCAATTGTAATAGGATCATATCCTGAACCAGCTGATGCAAAACACACCCCAGTTAAGAGGTCTTCAATCTGCAAATGTGGATCAAGATAGGGTGGCATGGCCTCCTTAACACCAAGCATTTCAGCTGAAATTATTTGAGACTTCTTTTCAGCAAAATATGAACATTAACAGTGTTTTCTACTAGCAAATCACCAAGCCAGCTTAATAAGTATTAGTTAGCACTTAGAAAGAACTACCTAAAAAATCTGAAGGGATCTTGCCATTACAAAACCTTCCTGTGGCTTTTCCTCCAATGAAGTCCCTCCCATATGGTTTGAAATTTGCCTTCACTGTTGTTTCAATGTAATTGTTGTTCCCAGTATCCAAGACTGAATCACCAAATGCTATAACAGCAGGAAATTGATTTTTCATATTTTTTGCTTGTGATATGGAAGTTACAACAAAGGGATAAAACAGAACTAGAAGAGGACATACATAAAGAAATTTAAGGGTGGAAAGCTTCATCATGTGATTTGAGTTTTACTCTTCTGCTTCAGCCTTAAGGAATATAAATTTATATTGGGGATGGTCATGTTTTTTACTTATTTATTAGATTGGATCTCTTTAACCATTTCCTTGTTGGTACTAGCTACTTAACAACCATGGTGAGGGTGCTAGTTGTTGTTTGCCAAGGGCAAAGACCACAGTTTTTAATTTCAACGTAAGTGTTAGATATAATATAAACATAAAGAGATATAATAAAAAAAAAAACCGTCTATGTGCTTCACCCAACAATTTAAATTTTTTGGATAGAGCGGGTTCATGACACCAAACATAGTAAATTAATAAAGAGAAAAATAAGAGTTATGTTGTAGAAAAAATAATCTGATCATGTGAAGATAAGACAAAACAAAATTATTGAACAAAGTGTCTCATCTTATTTTTTTGTTATTATTATTTTTTGTCCTTTAGTGTTGCATGATGGGAATTTTCTTCCTTTAACATGATAAAATAAAGACCCATTAATAAATTATGGAAGTAGAAATTATATTAAAAGAGTTATATTTATCTCATTCAACGTGAGATAAACCAAATTTCTATACACATAACAAAGGTGGATCTCACCTCTATTTTTTCTCTTTCAAATTATTTGTGGATCCCTCTCATAATTTTGTTTCACAGACATAAGATAATCCATATCCAACAACATAAGAAAAATATTTCTCATATTAAAATCATCTTAACTTCATAATCTTCATTGGGGTGTGTTGTTTAGGATCCGTTTATAAATTCTTTTTATAAATTTTTGTAAATTATACTATGTACTCCTGGAAGTATATAGTGTAACCAAGTGTACTTCCGAGAGCACATAGTGTAGTTTGTAAACAAAATTTTTGTAAATATAATCCTTTTTTGTTTCAATATTCCTTCACAATAATTTCAAGGGGAAGTTATATTTATAAATTTCTTTGTTTACAAACTCTTACAACTACATTATGTACTCCCGAAAATACTATAGGTTACACTATGTACTTCCGAGAGTACATAGTGTAATTTGCAAAAATTTGTAAAAAAATTTTGTAAACAAATCGTTCCACTAATTTCAATATAAGTGTTAGATATAATATAAAATAGGTGTAGTAAAAAACTGTCCATGTGACTTCACGTAATGGCTTTAATTTTTAGAAAATTGGTTCATAACATAATATAAAATTAGTTCACGACACTAAGCATAATAAATTAATAAATAATGGAAGTAGAAATTATTTTAAAATAATTTTGACCTTAAAATATCGTTATAAGGTTACTTCTCCGATTTGTCTTCTTGATTCCTTAAAACAGATTCATGGAATGATGGATAAATGAGGCAGGTGCAGTAGTAATTCAACCCATTGGGAAATCTTTTCTATTAGTTTTTTCACGAAAGATGGCTCATACATATAATGTGTTCCACTAAAAGTACTTGTTTATAGGTATCCATACATTTTCTCATTGATAGGAAATCAATAACAATAGGTATAGAACTGAACTCACATGCATATGCTACTTGGAGACCAGCTCTTAGTATTGGGAAAGGAAATCTTTTTACTATAAAATCACTAATATAACCTCATCCTTCGGCTTAAACTTTTGAATTAAATTGATTCTTTACGTGGTATCAAAATTTCGGTGTTACAGATTTGATCCTCACTGTCATCATTTAATTAATAATTAATTAAGTCTTGCGAAGTTTCTTAACATATATAGATGATCTTATATATTGTCCAGATTCGAGCTAAGTGAGTTTTAGTGTGAGGGAACGTGTTAGAAATATATAAAACCACTAATATAATCTCATCCACTAACTTAAGTTTTTGTATTGAATTGATTCTTTATATAAATATTGCTCAAATTTTATGAAGAGAAAGAAGAAATTTGAAGTTTTTTATGTAATAGATAGCATTTTCTAGGGCCTGATGAACATGAATTTTCAATCAATTAATGCCTTGTCATGTGATGAGTTTGATGTGGTCATCACAAATGTGAGTCATCAATCATCATCACACTTTTACATTTATAAAGAGATTTGGTTAGTGATTATATGTGACATAACTAGCACGATCTTGTGGCAATTTTTTTTTTTTTTTTCATTTTTTTTCAAATTTTTCAACCGATTAATAAATTAATCAACTAATCCGATAAAATATAAAAGGATCACAAAGACAACAAAATTCTCCTTATTAATTTTTTAACAGCCGGATACCCACGACTCTGAAACGCGTAGGACACTCTAAATATAATAAAATATCATCACACTATTAAGACCATATATGTATTGGTTAAAGTCAAACCGGCTTCTAATAGCCACGTGGCACCTAAATGTAGTTTCTCAATTGTAACAATAATTTTCGAATTGTCATCGTAACATCAAACTCACTCAAAACATAGATAAGAAAATTAAAGTTGCAACAAATTAAAAGTAAAAATGTCCCATAAAACAACCAAACGGTGAATATATATATTCCCATAACATAGGTCCTTAGAACTTATAAATGATCATATGGTGGCGTTTAGATTTTGTATTAATTGCGACCATTTCTAAATGTAACACATTAAAGCTTATTAGGTAGGAGAACAAGAAGAAAGACTCATAGATTATAAGACTACATAATAAGTAGAGCAGTTTAGAATGAGACAAGAACTGTTCTCAAAAGAAGTCCTTGATTTTGTTATCAAGCACAAGAGAACAAAGCACATTATAAGCCTTCTCTGTAGGGTGATAACTATCCCAGAATACGTAGTTTGAAGAGTTTGAGCATGTGTTTATGCTGTAAGGGTTGCACAAAATGCCGACTTCTATATTCCCTGTGCCACAGCACCCTTTCTCCGTCTCTTCAAAACCTTGTTCACCAATGTCAAAAGTAATGAGTCATAGAAATGACGTAGTAATAATAAAATAAGTTTGTCAGTAGTAATGAATTTGAGTAATTTGCACAATGTCGTAAGTTGAAACATTATTGTATTTAAATAAAGGGTAATAGAAGCATCATGTCACAGGATAAATGTTGTATCATGTCACTGACACAATATTTGTGGGGCCCACTGATATAAAATTTTTTTTGAAAAAAAATAACTTAATAAAAAAATATGTATGTGTCTGCAGGAATAAAAATGAGATTCCTGTAACATGACTACCGCAAAGCCCTTAAATAAAATAAAAAAACTTATTTTCATCATTGTATTTTAAAAATAAGAACAACTTATTGCTGTTTTACGTAGCAGTTGAGGGCTCTGTCATGCTAATTTGTAGGTCCCATGGGAAATGCATGAAGGACGATTGACCCCAATATTATTATGAGAACACGTAAATGAATTTGGTGCAGCTAGTTACTGGTTTCCTTATGTGTCAAAAACTATTGATTTATTTTCATTTAATTAACTACTTGAGGTTTTAAGTGAAATAATTATTTATTATGATATTTGAGGATCCGTGACTATGGGACCACGAGTTTAATCTTCACGGCCCCTACTTTCTAGTAAAATTGAATTAGTATAAGTAAAAAAAAAAAAAAAAAAAAACCTATTCAATATTTACGTTTCAAGTCCAAAAAATTATCGCATGAGTAGGTGTATTAGAGAATTAGTGGTTTTACATAATTTAATGTGATATTATATTCTGCGTTGAAGTGTGAGAGGGCAAAAATAATTAGCATCAAATTGGTGTATATAAGCCATATATATTCAGAAAGGTAAAATGGTCCAATATAATATGGTGAGCTACCTATTTGACATAAATAATGGTAATGAACGTGGGTGATTGATTAGTAATTACCATATTTAGCAGGGTTTTGAAGAATGTCCATAAATGGGTTGTACGAATCGAGATACACAAGCTTAGCGTCTGAAAACTTTTTTCCAAGTGCATCCATTTGGGAGAAGAGCTTTGAATTGAAGAGTATTGCTGCTTGGTTGGAAGAATCTGAACATGCTCTTTGCATGCCTCCACCAATTGTTCTCTGTGAGGGCACACACCCTATAACTGGTAAGCCAAATACTCCAATTCTTCTAGCTCCTACTCCATAAAGTTCCTACATTCAACTCATTAATTTAGTATTTTTTTTGTTTGGTTCAAAAAGAATAGAAAAAAGACACACAAAATAAAGTCTATGAATAAGGAATTCAAAAGTCCAAACCAGAACGTTATTGTTTGGGTATATGGTTTACCAAGTATTTGGAAAGCATATACATTCAAATAGTAAATCCATTCATCTATGTTTGATATTCCAAATATATTCATTCCCTCTTTGAATAAATGGATGTTTAGCTACCAATGAACAGAAAATTTTAGCTATTACATGACACAAGATGTCACTTGTCTACTGTTACTACCATATTGCTCTACCTAAATTTGACTGGAGTATAGGGGTAACAGTAACATGTTCTATGATTGAAAAATAACATATATCCCATATTATGACATTTACAAGTCAGTTCAAAATGCACATGGAAGGTGCACATGCATGACAATTCTAAGCAGAGAAATATGACAGTTTCTGTTTATCTTCCATCTAATGTAACTACATTTTCAAAACATACCTGTAAGAAGTTTGAGGCTTGTGAAGCCATTAAATCTGTATATGATGGAATATCATATTGGGAACGCCTAAATGGTGTTTGAGCATAAGTATTGGCAATGTCATCACTTCCTAAGCACAATATGTATATGCTCTTAGATACTATTATCGCTGTTCTGCTTCTTCCAACTGCTTCCTCTATCTTCATTATGTACTCCTTGAACATGTCTAATTGATCTGATAATGATATCACAGACTTATGACAATGAGAAAGAAAACTGGAGTTAGCTTCAAGATGTGCTAAAGAAAATTATTTATTGATAGAAAACATACACAAGGCTGCAAAAATGGTTGTTTACCACTATTTCAGCTGTTAGAGGATCATACCCAGCACCACCTGAGGCAAAGCTTACACCAGTGAGGAGATCTTGGAGTTGCAAATTTGGATCAAGATAAGCAGGTAAAAGCTTCTTCACTCCAAATTTTGCAGCTGAAAAAAATGAGCCAAGGTTTGTAAGAAATTAAACAAAGAACATGTTTGTTCTGTTCTCTATCCATAACTATACTAAGATACATATTGGAAGAGCAAGGAATTTTGTACCAATGATGTCTGAAGGGACTAAGCCATTGCTGAACCTCCCAGTTGGACGATTTCCTGCATCAAAATCTCTGCCATATGGTGGGAAATTGCATTTGACAAGAGTGGTGATATAGTTGTTGTTTCCTGGATCCACTATAGAGTCCCCAAATACAATGACTGCTGGCACAGTTTCATTGTTTGGAAGACTCACTGCATAAACATGTTGAAAGATTATGGCTATGGCATAACACCAAAGAATGACTAGAGGCCATTGACAGAAAAGCTTTTGAAAGAGTGACTTCATGTTTATGTGACTAATGCTTCCCAGTTTCTTTTTTAATGAGAAGGCAATGAAACTTCAATTTGGTGCAAGTTATTTATAGGAAAGCTAGAATTTTTTATTTTTATTCTTATTTTTTTTGCTCTTTGCATCTCATGTCATTATGCGGCAAGAAATTTTCACTAACGTGTGAATGACAGTTATTCTGTTCTCTACACTGATTCTGAAAAAAGATTTTTTTTCTTTTTATTTTTATGCCATGAAACAGTTTCTGAGAAGAAATAAAAAACGTGTTTGATAACGTATTCTATTTTTATTCCGAAGATAAGAATTGTGTTGGATAACATAATAAAAAATAGAATTAAAAATATTTCTATTAAACATAATTTTTTTTCGGATCATCATTTTCCTTTTCATATGGTGTGATGACGATGGCGGTGGCGTGGTGACAATAGTGATGGTAGTGGTGGTGGTGGCGGTGGCGTGATGATGGTAGTAATGGTGGTGGTGACGGCAGTGATTGCGGTGGTGGTGATAGTGATAGTGATAGTGGTGGTTGATAATGATGGTGGTGGCGGTGGCGTGGCGATAATTGCGATGGTGGCGATGACATCATGGTGTGGTGGTGGTGAACTGGTGATGATGTTAGTGGTGAAAAATGATTGAAAATGTTTCTCATTTTGTGTCCGGAAACAATTAAAAAAATTGAATTTTTTTAATTCTTTTTTTATTCCTTAGCACAGAAATTAAATTGGTTACTTCTTCGAAACAAAAAATAAATCAGTTTTGTCAAACATTGTTTTTATCCATTTCTATTATCGTGAAAAAAAATTGAAAAAAAAAATTAATTCCAAAAAAATTGTCATGTATACCTAAAAATAATTATACGATACTTTTGTTACAAAACCCAAACCTAGTTAATAGCAATGTTAATTATTGCATTATATTGAATGAATTTCGATAAGCATGAAGCACTGTGAAAAAGTGTAAGAATTAATTGATACCAGGAAGCATCCCGTATTTAGAAAAAAATTTAAAATTATAAAAGATTTCTAATAATTAATAATTGAGGTACAATCTTAAAAAATATTAAAAGAGAAAAAATATTTAAAATTGTAAAAAAGATATATAATAAATTCAAAAGAATATAAAAAAATTAAAAAAATAGATTATTACCAAAAAAAATTAAAAAGAGATGTTAAATATGACGTGTCATTCTTTAAGGAAAAGTAGTATAAAAACTCTAAAATTAAGTCACTATATATTATATTTAACATATAAAAGTAGGGTTTTATAAGAGTTATGTTGTAGGAAAAGTGATTGTGTAATGTTATAGAGATTCGTTTTGCGTACCGTAATTTCTTTTTTTTCTTTTTTCTTCAAAAATTGTGGGCCCCACAAAATGTTGTGTGTGTAGGAAAATTTGTTGTGTCATGTTAAATGACAAATGCAAATCTCATAAAACTAACTATGTAACACCTTTTAAATAATGTATTTGCATTTGATTCCCAAGATGGTACTTTTTATCAAACCTAAATTTTGATAAATATTTCTGGGTTATTTTTCCTTTTTCTTCTCTAGAAATTGCTGCACAACAAGGTGCCGCTTGTAACACAAAGAAAGCAAGTTATTCAAGTCACTTGTTAAGTGGCTTAGTCATAAGATTTTCATGGGACATCGATCCATATACGTGAACACTCAATTTTGTCTCTATTATTATAAAAAAAAATATTAAAGAAGGGAAATATGACTGCCATGTTACATTACACATATTGTGCCATGCCTTAAACATAAAAAATATGAGTTTTACTGAAAAAAAATAAAATAAAAGTGTAGATCTCATTTTCTATGTCTATGACCTTACATAAAATATGTAATGTAACATGAAACTCATATTTCTCATTAAAGAAAATAAAGGAATGAAAAAGAGTAGATATAAGCCAATTTTAATAGGCCCAAAATCTGTTAGTGTAGCCCAATTCAAATGACCTGTGTAAAAAAATAAAATCTTAAAAGAATATGATCTATACTATTAAGTATTAGGGTTTGGTGTATGTCATTTTTTTTTTTTTTTTTTTGATAACAGGTGTATGTCATTTTAGTAAAGAGAGATAGACACAAAAAATGAAAATCATGGGAGAGAGAAAGTTGGTGATTTTTTTTAATTTAAAATTTAAATAAAAAAATTATTTTGTGTCTATCTCTATCTTAAAATGACATATAACTTTATGTCATTTAAAATAAAAAACACTTTTTCCTAACTATTAACCTATGGGTTAACCCACAACCATAATCCATATTCACACTTCATTCTCAAATTCAATCAGATATTGTGACATCAAATCACGTTAACCATGACAGAAAAGAAAGGCACCTGCACACACTCAACTTGCACACACTTCATTCCCATTTTGGGTGATTGACAAAAAATTACACAAAAAGTTTTGCTTGGAACAAGGTGGAAATGCATAGAAATGGAAAGGAAGCCCAGCAGTTGGCTGCAATGTGACCAGATGGAGACATGGGAAGATGAACCCAGAAGGCAGAGTCAAATAGCTCTTTTTCCTTATAAGGAGGAAGAATCGTAAAAAAATGAAAAAAGAAAAAAAATGGAAACAAGAACGCATAAATTATAGAGAAGGAGAGACTATGAGTGGAGTAATACTGAGACAGAGATAAAGAAAAGAAGAAGGAGTGTTCTTAGAAGAGGGAGATTCAAAAGGGGATCAATGATTTTTTTCTATCAAACAAAGAGATAAGGATAAAAGCTTCAAGATCATTCTCAGTACTGCAAGTCTGATATCGGCAAGTCTAAAAAGCATAAATCTGATATCGGCAAGTCTAAGATCACTTTCTGAAGGATATCATCATTAGTGAAATATTATTGCTAAGCAAAATCCGAGGCCTCTTTTTATCACCTCATCTTGACTACCCAGAATGCAACAGGGGCTCCCATTGAAAAATTCTACATGCACAAAATTTCAAAATGATAAGTGATAACTATGATGCTGATACACGATGGTATCAAGAAGAGGGAATGAACTTGAAAAAAGAGAACAAAATGGGTTTTTCTTATTCTGATAACCCTATTCTGTTTTACGATCCTTTTTATAATTTGTCTTTTACTTACAATCCCTTCTTTTTACACGTAACCCCCATCTCTGGCAATTACCCAATCCCTTTACAATAGCTCAACTAATATGACTCCTAATTACAACATGTGTCTTCTGTTACAATTGCTAAACAATACAGTAGTCCTTTGACCAAACTGGTTTACTTCTCTTCCTTGCTACTCTTTTATCCGTAACAACTGCCCCATCCTCAACAGAGACCTTGTCCCCAAGGTCCAATGATAGATAAGCATGACGAAGCTCCGATATTGACTCCCAAGACGCATCTTCAGGGACACTGGCTGACCATTGGACCAATGCTTGCTGTTGTTGATGACCTTTTACAGATATCCACCTCTTAGACAGAATAGCAATTGGAACTTGTAGAGGCTGGTTGCTCATGCTATCTGCTGGAAGAGGGGAAATTGGTACAGCAACACAACCTTTGTAAAGCTTAAGAGCTGAAATACGAAATGTGGGGTGAATTTTGCACCCATCTGGTAGCTAAAGTTGGTAAGCCACTTTACTAATCACCTTTTGAATAGGAAATGGTCCATAGAAACGTTTGGCCAACTTCTGGTTTGAGCGATGCTGGACAGAAACCTGCCTGTAAGGTTGCAGTTTCACCAGCACCAAATCACCTTCAACAAAGCTACAGTCAGTACGGTGTTGATCCACCAATGTCTTCATACGATTCTGCGCTCTGGCAAGGGACAACTTCAACTGAGCTAATAACTCATTCTGATGTTGCAGCATGGTCTCCAAGGCCTCTACCTTCAGTAAGCCGCTAGGACAATGAGGGATACTTGGAGGTGGACGACCATATAACGCCTGAAAAGGACTCATGGAAATTGAGGAATGTACTGAAGTGTTATAATGGAGTTCGACCCAACACAAAAAAGAAGACCAACAATGGTTTTGATCTGGGCAAAACGCACGAAGGTACTGCTCTAAGTACCTATTTGTCACCACGGTTTGTCCATCGGACTGAGGGTGATAAGCTGAGCTAGCTTTCAATTTAGTTTCACTTAATCGAAACAAAATCTGCCAAAATTGGCTCATGAAGATTGGGTCCCTATCAGAAACTAAAGAACGAGGAAACCCATGAAGCTTGATGACCATTTCACAGAATAATTCAGCAACAGTTGCTGCTGTATATGATGTAGACAAAGGACTAAAATGAGCAAACTTTGTGAGACGATCAACTACCACAAGTATAGTGTAAAAGCCAGTTGAACGAGGTAACCCCACAATCAAATCTAATGTGAGATCCTTATACATTGCTTCTGGTATAGGTAATGGGTGCATAAGGCCTAATGGGGCTTGAGTGGAGGTTTTAATTTGTTGGCAAATTGAGCACTCTCGAACAAATTGATTGACATCAACACGCATTTTGGGCCAATGAAATGAGGCTGATAGTCTGAGGAACGTGCGAAGATTTCCTGCATTTCCTCCAACCGGTGATGAGTGTGCCTCCTCAAGTAATATTGGCTTCAAATCCGAATCAGAGCTAAGCATGAAACATTTTTTTGTGAAACAACATGCCATCCTTACGCGTGATCTCAGAATTTACTAGCTCCCCACGTGTTAACTTTTCATGTATAAGCAACAATTCTGGTTTAGTGGCATTCTCTGCTTTAATTTGAGCTAACATATCAAACGTTGGTTCACCAAATAACGTCAACAAGGCTCCCCCATCATGTTGTCTTGACAGCTCATCTGCCACTGTGTTAGACCTCCCTGGCTTGTATTCAATGTTGAAGGAATACCCCAACAACTTTGATACGTATCTATGTTGCTCAGAAATCAAAACTGTTTGAGAGAGAAGCTCTCTAATACTTTGATGGTTAGTCCTTATAACGAAATGGGCACCTAATAAGTAGTGTCTCCATTTTTTTACCGCTTTCGTTATGACATAA